CATACGTACATCTCTCACTCACTCACTCACTCACTCACTCATCCATTGACCCGTCCATAACATACCCAACGCGCCGACTAAGAGGTATTTTTTTTTGCCAAAAAATAACTCAAAAATTGTTCGCTCTCATTCATTGATACATCGCATAAATTATAAATTCCCGTGTCTGTGCGATTATTGACAATGAAAATTAGCCAATGATAGCACAAGAATTTCTGCAGTTATCAGAAAAATTTCAATTCAACAATTATTGTTTGAGCATCATCATTTTTTAAATCTAAGTTGTTCACAAGAAATCCGTCATGTGGCATCCGTCATGTGGTCCTAAGAATTACGCAAACAACTATGTGTAAGAATAGATAAATTTTATTTACAATTTTAACATATTACTTAATATACATTATTTTTTGTGGCACTTTATCTCCTTTTGATAATATACCAGGCGACAAAGAAGACAAAGAGACAGAACAGTATGAGATAGAGCATGACTTTGTGGTGGCCTTTTTTAGTCAGGGCTGTCAATCTGCCCATTGTCGATGATAGCAGTGAACCTCCTGAGTCAAAATCTGTATCCTAAAAACAAACAACAGATTTGTAGTGTATGTTAAAGCCTTTAGTTCAGTTTGAGAGGCTAAATCAAGCACTAATTTGTTAGCTTAGTTTTGAATCTGTGTGACCTACTCAGCCAAGCTAAGGCAAATTCAGGAATTTTGATAGGTGGGAAGGTGTCTGAACATTTGCTGAGGAGATATTGTCACGACAAAGTGCTTTACAGCTTATAACTTAAAAATATGCTGTTTATATTGGAGATAGCTTGAAGCAATCTTCTTCAGGTTTGGTATAGGGGAAGGGGGTGGAATGGAAGACCTCCATCACAGAACCTCCTCTTGGATTCCATGGGTGTCACTGCAATTGATGAGGTACAACACCATATCCTAAAAAATAATTGACCTCACAACTTTCAGTATTGTTATGATACAGCAAAATGCCAGTTATAAGACCCTCTTTCCCACAAAATAGTGTCGTTATAACTGACATTTTACCTTGATCAGCCAAGTACTCAGAGTGTAGCAGATATTACATACCATTTCATTTAGCATTTTATTCTGGTATTTCACCTCATTCCCAATGTCTATTGTAAGCTGCAAGAAACAAAGGTGATTGATTGATTGATTCATCGATGGATTTATTGATTGATTGAAAACAAACAAGATATCTATGAAACTGTTCAGAAAATTCTTCTGAAATCTTTTAAAAGAATAAAATTTATATTCTTAATATTCTGAGGGTGTTCAGGAAACTATTCTTTCTTTCTGAATAGTAAATAGATAGAACCCTTGGGAGCTCTATGAAAATTTCCTGCAACCCTTACCCAATACTACACTACGTGCACTGGACAAAATCGTTCTTTACTCATAGTGCTTATTTCACATTATTGTATGGCTTGTGTTTGTAGCCATTATAATGCACACTCTGATTGGCTAATTCTAGGGTATTATTTAGCTCTTCTTTTAATTAATAACTTATATACATTCAATACACACTTACATACTTACTTTACGAAATTACATTACTAACACCACTCACATTGCAACACTCGATTTACAGTACACTATTTATTTCCCTGCAATTATTTAGCTCTTATTAACCGCGCAGGAGGTCTGTATGGGAGAATCTTGACTGAGGTCGTGAGTACAGACTGAATGCAGTGAGGTCTGTACACACGACCAAGGTCAAGATTTTCCACACAGACCAACTAAGCTTGGTTAATAAGATGTTTATTATATGCAATTAGAGAACAATTTAATTCATTTAATGTAACTGGTTTGTACAAGCTGACATTTTGCTTGCAAACGACGATGAGCTGAACTTAATTCTGCCAAAGTTTGCTCGTCCTCTATATTTTTTTTCTCAGCAGGTTTTTTGGCACTTCCATAAATAAATAATGTTAGAAGAAAATAGTCAATATTTTTGCATTATAGTTTGCAACTTTTTTACCACAAAATGTAACTGGTCTAGATGCCAGTCCAGATGAGAAAATCTAGTCCACTTTCAATATCGATTTCAGCTAATCAAATTTGTGAATTCGGTAGTTTCCAGTCCTTGTGAGACACAGCCATATAATAATCTCCTGTAATGCCCATGGGTCGATTATGGCTCTGTCAATTCTACGCCCTCCCATTAACTAATTGATGTCAGTTTTTCATGCATCTGTAATGTTATTAATCATGAATTTCATCATAACATTGTCAAAGTAGCTGTGGATCCACGAGGTCATAGCCAAGTGGATCCGTAGACTACTTTGTTATGATGAAATTCTTTATCAATAACAGGACAGACGCATTAAAAACTGACATCAATTTGTTTTTTAACGATTATAACAAATTGTCAAATTGTCCGTTCTCACTCGATAACGCATCGCATAAATTATAAATTCATGTGTCTGTCTGCTTATTGACAATAAAAATTAGCCAATGAGCGCGAGAGAATTTCTGCAGTTATCGTAAAATTGGCATTGGAAGGGAATTTCACATTTTCTCCTACATGCAAGACCAAGATGAATTTATGGGGGTGGTAGTAGGGCACAAGCTAGTTTCCAGTTGGTTAAATGTCAGAAAAAGAATTTAAAACTACATTCTTTACGTAGGGTTAATCCCTTTGATGTATAATTTTTTGTTTCTGCCTAAATTGGCAAATGCCCCACCCCCAGGCAACCCTTTGTGAGCAAATAACCCATGCAGGTGGGGATCGACAACCTGTCAAATGCCCGTCCAACACCCAAGGGGATGAGGATGGTCACAACCACCATGGGCCTGCAAAAGCAAAGCAGAAAGTCATATAATAAACAACTTATTAACCTCGGCCTTGCTGTATTGACCTTGCTATCACTCTGTCAATATGGTAAGGTCTTGGTTTGAGATTTTCTGGTAAAGACCTCTTTCTTGGTTAATAAGTAGTTATTATTGTGCTCTTCTACGAAGCCGTAAAAATCACCAAGAAAATTATGATAAAAAAAGGAATTAATAATAACTACCTAAATTACAGTATAATCATACACTAAACTAACTATGGCTTCATATGTAAGTTTATTAAAAAGTACTTATTAAAATGCTTAACTAACGGAGGATAAATTGCTTCAGGTGACAAACTAATCTCCAGGCAAAGCTCTTTTTGAGCCGGACGGCTTCTGTACGTGGTCTTGGTTTAGACACATAAGATTAAGTTTAATACAATACCGATTTGAGCGCTTGAACCTTGCTTGAAAGATGGTCGACCATTTTATCATTTTCTTCCTCTAGCATGTGGTGATCTGATCGCTGGGCCATATTCCCTTGGAAATCTGTCGGAGCTGAAGTTAAACAGATTCGATCACAAATTTTCAACCAAAACGCTGAATAAAATTCAATTTGAGACTGAAAATATGTCAAGCAATTACTATACTACCATGAGCTCTTCTCATAGCGATTAAACAGTAAATTTGTAGTTATAACAGGGCAAACTTTCTGCTGCGTTTTCGAAAGACGTGTCACTTCGTACGAAAAATCTCCGGCCTATAGCGATATACCGCTGACCAGAGATCACACGGAAGCGAGGCTTACTTGGGACTCTACGCGACGACTCGCAGACAGAAATATTCACGCGGACTGAAGTAACCAGTGTATGTTTTAGCTTTCAAAAGTATGGCTGCATTGAGGACATCACTTCGCTCTATATCTCCATCAGGTATGAAATTAAAGGAAGATTTCATCCCCGGATAAGGATTTTTACAAGCACTTTATAATTTCACTGTTGAATAATTCGTCTACTTCAATTTGTCACGTGGAAAAAACTTCCATAAGCTTTGTGCAATCATTGAGGAACATATTTAGTCAAGGATTAAGGTTATTGGCCATACTCGATCTAAGTTAATTAACTTAACTGATCTTCCCAACGCGTGTTGAAATTTCGGTGTTAACATCAAAGCGTCTGTAATAACTGCGTAGTCTATTGTCTGTGTATGAAGACATCCTTTCTTCCCAAGGCAGCGATCGCTCTTCCGGAGGTGTGTTGGAGGCGTTGCTCGTCCGTGATTTCAGTTTACCTGAAACTATTTTGATTTTTTCTTTTTTCATAAATTTGTCTCAAATTCATAATCATAACCTGAAACCAATCACGGAAGAAAGTTTTTCGAGTTTTTGTGGCGGTATATTCCATAATTTGGGACCTAAATACCTTGGTGTTGTTGAGGATTGTGCTCATGTCGTCCTTTTTTGTCTGCTGTAGTAACTGAGGTCTTTATTTTTGGACATACATTTGCCTCGTGGTTAGTGTCCTCACCTCTGGATCAAGCAGTCCAGATTTGAGTCTGGCAAGAGAATGCGTTGTGTTCTTGGACATTACAATTTAATCTCACCAGTGCCTCTCTCAGCACCCAGGAGTATAAATGGGTACCAGCAAATTTAATGCTGGGGGTAACCCTGTGATAGACTAGCATCCTATCCTGGGGGGAGGAGAAATACTCCTAGTCGGTGAGCTAGTAAGCTTGTTTCTATCACAAGGGTGATAATTGTGTTGCACAGGCGTAAACTAATATCAAAAGGAACCTATTAAAGACTAATACATATCTCAGAGAATTAGTCTATCTTGTTCATCATCTCAGATGTGTTTGTGATGCCTTTCATCTCAGAGTCTTGATTTCTTTTTGTATGTGTTTCTTATTTTTTTATTTTTTATTTTTTAGCTGTGTTTGCTGGCCATTCACAACTCCAGATATCTGTCCGGAATGCAAGTGCAGCACAAGCTACCCTTCTTAGTATCTTAGACTCTCAGATCAGTGACATTCAACAAGCGGGAACTTGGAAAAGTGAAAGGGTTATAAGCACAAAGCAAGCATCGGAGATTGCTGTCCAAGGAAGAAGTGATAAGCTGCTTAATTTTTGTGCCAACAACTATCTGGGACTTTCAGTGAGTTACTTAGTCTTACAGACTTTATCCAGGGGTGGGTGGATCCACGATTCTTTTGAGCTGGGGGAGGTGGCTAGTACCTTGGAGTTGCAGTTTTAAGAGGTGTCTAATTTAAGACTGGCAATGCTACAAGTAATGCTACAAAGTAGAAATTGTCATGAGGAACCTGTCCAGAGTTTTTGCCTTTATTTCTGCTGTAATATTCACAGTCACAAATATGATCTCTTTTCAGTTTTTATTTTTTTGCCTGTCCCAAAGGAAGGGGGTGGCTAGCCACCACAATGACAAAGCTCTTAATTAAAAATAATTCTTTGTGAGACTTTTGTATGTTTCTTTTTCACTTTTTTCAGTCGCACCCAGAAGTTATTCAAGCAGCAAAAGATGCTTTAGATAAATATGGCAATGGCCTGAGTTCAGTCAGATTTATTTGTGGTACACAGGTAAAATCATTTTCATAAATAAATTGATGTTATTTTTTAATTATTATAAAATATAATATTTTCACAATTAAAAATGAACAGAATGATGTGGTCAATACATATATATTTATTCACAGGATATTCACAAGGAACTGGAGGAAAAGATATCACGATTTCATGACCGTGAAGACGCAATTTTATATCCTTGTTGTTTTGATGCAAACACCGGTTTGTTTGAGGCTCTTTTAAGTCCAGAAGATGCCGTCTTAAGCGATGAACTGAATCATGCGTCTATCATTGATGGAGTACGGTTATGTAAAGCCAAGAAATTCAAATACAAGAATAAAGATATGGCAGGTATGATTTGCGGTTTGCCTGAGGTAAATGAGAAAGACAATAAATTACAAACTCTTCCAAGTAGACTGTGAGAATCATGTACTAAAAGGCATCTCTGGTCAAGTGTCGATCAACATTTGATTAACACATCAATCAATACTTGGTCAACACTAGGTCGACACTATCAACATCTCGATCAAGTGACATTCAGTATAGAGCCAAGTGTCGACCAACTCATATGTATTGATTGACACTCAATTGCATGTCTGCAAAATTTAGACATCAATCACAACTGGCATTCAACGGAGATGTTGATCGATTGTCAACCGACCTGTCAATAGAGTATTGATCAAGTGTTGATTGAGGGTCAATGGAGGGTATTGATTGACACTTGACCGTGGAAGCCCTTAGTACACATAATCTGACCATGACACCTGTAATTTTTTTTACCTCCTCCAGAGTAATGGTTTTGCTTCAGACCAATTATATAGTACATCTGAAACAAACTCGCAGCATCAAAATGTTACTCTGACACCTGGAAAAAAATTGTAGGTCTACTGGAAAGAGTAGTATGATATGATCCCAATACATGTATATGAAATAATAATCCTTGCTGATCAGGGATTAAAGTCTCTTGACTATATGGTTTTAAACTCCATGCTAGACCTAGAGGAGAAGCTGAAAGAAGCTGAGGGAGCACGCATGAAGTTGATAGTTACAGATGGTGTTTTCAGCATGGATGGAAAAGTTGCTCCTCTCAAGTAAGTGACTGTGAAGTCTACTCAAGCTCTAAGCTCTAGCTCATGACAAGTGGTTACAGTATAGACAATAGTGTCTGACTTGAATATCTGGGTTGGGGAGGGGGGGGCACTGATGTAAAAAGGTGGATAGGGGATGCTCATGGGGAAAACTTTTTATTAAATGAATTAAAGGAGAACAATCTGGGCATGGCTAGAGTGTTGTTTGACCCCTAAAAGAAACCACTTTAACACAGACCTTCTTGGATGGCAACCCCCAAAATATCTTGATCGGGGTTTAAAAAATAGTAGTGTTTTGTTGTAAAAACCCTATGTGAGACCAAAGTTTGTTATTTACTCTCCGTCGAGCACCCAGCCAGTCCCAACCTTTTCACATGGGAGTTCCCATATGTAATTATGTCATTATTTAATAATGAAAATGAACTTAATTTTATTTGTAACACCCTATACAAGCTTTCAATTAATAATACTTGTGGTGGTTCCTCTAACAGTGAGCTGTGTGACCTAGCAGAGAAGTATGGTGCACTGACTTTTATTGACGAGTGTCATGCTACCGGATTCTTAGGTGAAACAGGAAGGTATCTGGACACCCTTGAATTTATGTTATGCACTTGTTAGAATTGTATTTTCAATTATTAATCATCACTGCAGCAAAAATATAATATTTATTACCAGTAGATTGTAATTGGTTATGTAGACACCTACTTGCCATGCAACCTGTGTGTAATCACTAATAGGTTTCTCTTGATTTAATGACTCACATTAGCACTTGTAAAGGATAAAAAATGCAAATTACAACTAAGTGGCCCATATCAGGCCGAGGTTTCAGTTGCATGAAGTGACTAGGAGTTTTTCTGCTCTCCCTTGGATGGGATGCTAATCTATTGCATGGTTACCCCCCAGCATTAAATTTGCTGTTACCCATTTGTACTCGTGGGTGTGGAGAGAGGCACTGTGAGAGTGAAGTGTCTTGCCCAGGGACACAACATATTGTCCCCTGTCAGGGCTTGAACCCAGACTATGCAATCCAAAAGCATGTACGCACTTACCACGAGGCCACAGCACCTCCCACTGACTTGCACTTGTGACANAACAAAGCCAAGGTGATTTCAGTGAACTCCAGTGTTCTTGTGGCTGGCAACTCGAATCTCATTGGGGTTTCATCCACGTTCAGGATTTGGCTGGACTCATAGCCACATGAAGAAAGAAAACTACAATTTATATATTAAAGGATATAGAAAACAAAATGGCAAGTAAGCTTAGGCTCCATCTCAAGAAACGCCAGATACATGACTAATTAAGTTCTCTGCTGTGGATGCTTGACTGCATAAATTATGAGACCCCAAGACTATGATGTGGTAGTATGTGAGCAAGCTCTAAATAAGGAATTTAATCATTTATGCTTCAAATACCTAGCTAATGGCAACACAACTTATACAAATTGATGCCCATTTACATTTAATTAACCATTCAAAAAATTTGGTAAGACATGTAAATCACCAGACAGATAGAGTGACAGATTTGTCATAAATTCTGCAAAAATTGGTAAAGAGGAACTAATAAACTATTGATTTATTACTCCGGTGTACTGTAGGTGGTTACACAACAGGACCTAGACAGCTGATCCAATTATTACGTCAGAAGTCCCGTCCTTATCTCTTCTCCAACACCCTACCTCCTCCTGTGGTGGGTGGGGCCAGTAAGGTGAGCTGCACTGAATGAGCAGGTAAATTTCTCTGTCTGCTGAGCATCATACTACTCTATGTACAAAGAAGACTCGTTCATTTGTTCCACTCTAACATTAATTATTTCTCTGATAAGTGGTACTTATTAGGCTTTGTTCATCGACTGTTAGACCTGCCAAATTCAAATATATATATCAGTTGCTGGTCTGTTTTTCTTTCGAAATGAGGCGGGAACATTTCAGACTAGAAGAGATTGGGACGAGACATAGGTGAAGCACTCGTGAGAAGAAATACCACTGACCCTAAGAAAATACCATTTGCCAGCAGTCTAGATGTAAACAAATAAACAAGCTTGACCTGCATACTAAAGGTGGAGTATGATCCTGCAACATAAAACAGTTTTCCTTTTTTCATCTGTAGCATAATTGCTGATATCTACTGTTTTTTCATATATTTTTGCAATCCTCCAGGTGTTTGATCTGTTAATGAATGGCTCAGATCTGATTAAAAAAGTGTCTGACAACACCATGTTATTTCGAACAAAAATGACAGCAGCAGGTTTCAACATCACTGTAAGTAACTGAACTCCAAGTTTAAAGATTTTAACCTCCTAGTCTAACCGAGAGTGAGGGCCAGACTAGGGAATAATAATTGGTAGTTGTAGTAAAACTTTGTTTAACTAGGGTGGCCCATTCAACATCATGGCTGGTATTCAGAGGGGCCCTGGTAATAAATATTATGTACAATGATTATCATAGAAGTTCAAATATATTGTACAGTCAGTATGGAGCTTGTGGCACTTTATAGTCCTTAGTCCCAAACAAGAAATGTACCTCAACATGAAATGGCAAGCTGGGCATCCGTGATTACGAGATACCAAAAAAAAAATGTATGGTTTGTGAATCATAGCAGAGAGGCGTCTATCTGGGCAGTAAAAATTTCTCCAGGCAAGTGCGTTTTGAGAGTCACTCACCCAAATGGTGAGTGCTGTCAAAATTTAGTTTCCAACACTGTGTAGGTGAAACACATTCTTTTCATTGAATGAGTTTTGTAAAAAGACTTGTTTTCACAGGAGTAAAATTAAAGGCAATAAGTAAACCAGCATTATGATATTAAGTAGAATGTTTGTTCACATGTACACATAAATCTCTAGCATATTGATCATACCATGGCTATCTCCTAGTACATAATAATTCTGTTGTGTTGTTTTTTTTTGGCATTATAGGGTGATGGTCACCCAATAACACCAGTCATGTTAGGAGATGCTCGGCTTGCTGTAGAGTTTGCTGATGAAATGTTAGGTGGGTGTATATCACCCAAATGTTGGTTTTCTAATTCAAGATTTGCCACTCCGGCACGCGAACGTATGTTGGGAACTGAAAATGGGTCTTGTTAGGTCAAGGTGTCTGGCTCATACAACCTATGAGCTCAAAAGATATAGTGCTTGTATATGGTGAAGACCACAACTAAGTGGCTGTTTATGTTTGGTGTCCAATAGTGGAGGTTCCTCTGATTGGTTTGTTTATTGATTAATTTAGTGGCTTCCCAAATGATTGATTGATTGATTGACTGACTGACTGACTGACTGATTGATTGATTGATTGATTGATTGATTGATTGCTTCATTGTTTTCTTGCTTGTCTGCTTGATTGATTGGTGTGTCAGGGTTAATATTTCATTGAATCACCATAGTTGACAAATAAAATAATGCATATTGAATGCAGCTTTCAGGATGCAAAGAAACCAATGGTCAAGTAACTATGACGTACTAACAGAATTAGATATTCTCACTAACCCCTGTAGTAATTCTTACTATTAATAGAATGATATGACTGATTGTAATAATTTAAAATTTAATTTATTTAATATAATAAGCTTATCTCTTACATCACATCAGTCTGTAAATTATGTGAATTTCCTGTAAGATTTGATCCCGTACTTACTCGTCGGGCATTAGGAATGATGGGTAGAACCATTAGTGCACCTGCAAAATCTACTAGCAAAAGCTAGTGGACATGAATTTCTTTTCTGATGCTCATTATTTACTCATTATGATACACATGGCTGGTTTACTGATAATTTTACTGAATTGTAATAGTTTTGCAAAGAGTTGATTTGTTTCCCGTTTCTGATTTTGCAGAGCGTGGAGTGTATGTGATAGGTTTCACATTTCCCGTTGTTCCCAAGGGTAAGCTGTTTTATCATTTTGGATAACATTTTCTGTCTGTGGAACAATTTTCCAATGACTAGACAGCACTGTTGACAATACAAAAACAGATTGAATCAATTCAATTCTAGTCAATCATTGATGCCAAACACAAGACACTGTGCACTATAGGACAAAAGTATATTTCCGAAAAATATCCCGACCCCTTAATATTGAGCTTGCTGAAGTTATTTTGTTACAAAGGCTAGGTGCGACCTCTCCTGAGAAATTGAAAAATACCGGTAATAGCATTTGATAAGTAAATTCAGCCGAGCGTTTGTGAAGTGAACATGAGTATCCTTGGAGACCCAGCGGGTACAATTGATGGGGGGCAAGGGAATGTTGAATCAGTAAGAAAAAATCAGCAAAGAAAATTCAATGAGCATAACATTCACATTTCTTCACTTTACTTTTCCCTGACTGGTTTGGCTTTCCCTGAGTATAAGGAGCTGGAATGCAGGAATTGCAAAAGCACCTGTATGAGCTCAAACACACCTATTTAATATTTATCTTTTGCATATATACAGGCAAAGCTAGGATACGTGTACAGATCTCTGCTGCCCATAGTACAGAGGAGATTGAACGTTGTGTTGACGCTTTTGTTGATGTTGGAAAAAAGAAAGGAGTGATTTAAATAAATGTATGAATAATTTTAGCAATTTGAATTGAACTAAAAAAATATTCTCTGAGTGTTCTAAATAAACTGATAAAACTGTTTATTGTCAAGACAGGTAATTTGCAGGGACTGTAAACCTTCATAGTGTTATTAATAACACGAAATGAATTAGGCGGTCAGTTCTTCAGCTCAGGTCTTATTTACTACCAAAGAAAACTGTGTTTGCTTGCATTACATTGCAATAAGAAAGATTTCTTGAGGAATACTCCGAAAAATAAATACAGCAAGGGTACACTTTTTTTCATGTTTTACTTAATTGTGTGTAATAATGCATAATTACCAAGTGAGAACACCCAGAAATGCTGAAAAAAGTTCTCATTACATAAAAAGTTCTGGGTATAATTTTTACTAATTTAGGAGGTATTTTAGGGGGTAAAACATTTCTCCCAAATATTTAAGGATGGACAGGGATATTTTTGATCGAGAGAGACAGGGGTGTTGTGTTGGTACGCTTGTAATATTTCTATGCAAAATGTTTTCTAAATATATCACTGAGGTTGCAGTGCAAAAATTATTTTGGCTTATTCTATAAATTCTTTCGTGGGCATATTTTGCTTGCAGGAATTGTTTGGGTAGTAATATATCCTTATTATCCATCCACTCAAAAATAGTGTAACAGTTCATACCATAAATATTAGCATTTGGTGAGAAGAGAGTGAGTTAACCATCAACATTAATATTTAATAGATCATCTTTATTTGTTAATTAAGGAACATTTAGGGTTAATATTTATATATATCTTGCACATGGAGGTATTTTTTTTGAGTGTCGAAACACAGCTTTAATTTACTCCCTACCAGGGAGCATGTTTATAGTGGCCCTATTTTACAATTATTATTGATAAGTTAAAGGCCCTAATGAAATAATGAGATTTCTATGAGGTGGTAGTTGACAAGTATGAATAGGCCGAATCAACTTTAGGCTTGATTTCCACCACTCTCTCTGGTGCAGGCTCCTTTCCCAGTGGCTGGTAATCAAGCCAAAATCAACTATCACCTCATAGAAATTGAGAGTGAATAACCTAATTGCACTTATAAAATTTTTAAGGGAATTTGCTTCAAATAGCGGTTTCCAATCATAATTTTTCATCTTAGTATTAAACTTCACGCTGATGTTCAAATAAAAAACTATTTCCTATGGTCAGTGGTGATGTTTCTTAACCCAATTTAAACACTATTGCTTAATTGACTAACTCTGTGCCCTATTCAGATCTAAAACGGGTATTTTATCACTAGTTCTGCTAAAAGGTGCATGGACCACTCCCCACTTCATTAATTGCCGCCCTGTCTGTGAAAAAAATGTGTGAGGCACGGTGGCTTCATAGTTAGTGCTGTCGTCTCCGGATCAAGCGGTAAATGGGGGTAGCCCTGCAATGGACTAGCAAAAACCAGAAAAGGAACCAGCCTGACGGGCCACTTGGGTCATATGTAGTTTGTAGCCTGCATAAAATTTTATACTTACTGCACCGCTGATCAAAACATAACATAAAACCTTTATTGATCTTTACTGATCTTTATTTTAACACAATAAGAGTAGAGCTACTAAGCTTGTGGGGTCGTGTATACTACTGAATTAAAATATGTGCGGAAAATTTGAACCATACTTCAGGCCACCCAGCTGCAAGCCATAAAGTGGGATACAGACTGCCACGCCACAAGCCACTGAATGGGCCATAAGTCGTATCGCTGAAAATCATATCCCATACTATCAGGAAGGATTTTTAAAAAAAAAATGAAAGAAAACAAAGGAAAAAAAAATTGTAATCAACAATATTGAAACAAAAATATTGCGGATCCGTTACCAAGATTGATCATGACAACATAGGATATAGCGTTCTCTGGTAAAAAGTACTTAAAAACATAAGCTTTCGACAGCCGGCCTATTGTCTTCATTGACAAAGGAAACCATCGCACCAGAAAGACACTGGAATCATGGCACATGGCAAAAACTGTTGAGGTTGATAATAACTCATGCCCACTCCAAAGACAATACAACATTCTTTAAAACAAACATTAATTTTAGCACTTTTCGCATTCTTTTGAACATTCTTTACACATGCAGTAATTTTAAATTTATGTGATTTGATAACAATTTTTATCCATCAAAGACAGTAGACCGGCTGTCGAAAGCTTGCAGTTTTTAAATACTTTTTACCAGAGAATGCGATATCCTATATTATCAGTATTGAAACAGATTCCAAACCAGGATTATGTTCCAATGATTTATTCACACATCAGCTGACACCTTTTTACCAGGAAGTGTTCAAGGCTTGGAATTCAAGGACATTTCAGCAACTCTGAGGGGCTCAGTTTTCCTCTGCCAATTTTTTCATGTAGATTGGAAGATTTTCCCAGGCAGGGGAGATGGGTACAAATTTTCCCCAAAATCAACTAGTTGAGCCTAAAAGTCACATTCGTCTCATACCCATGTGCATAATGCTCAATGGATTCCCAGATGTATCAATAAAATTCAAAGACAGTTGGGAACAATTTTAGAACTTTTTTAATAGAATTTAGGACTTTTTTCATTTTTAAGGACTTTTCATAGACCTGGCAAACTTCCACTGGTTTTCCAAGGTCTTTTCAAACTATGGATTGTCACAACCCAGCTGCTCATTCTTGCTCTCATCACCACTCTATAGCTAACAAGAGCTGGCTGCATTCACAGGCTTCTCTTGTTCAATCTCCAACAATAATAAATTACTGAACTTAACCAATCTAGTAAGGATGATACCTTCAAAGTATTTATTATCGTTCACAAAGCCTATTTGTACAGGTGGACATGTGACAAATTATTTACATTATACAACATTATGAAGCAAACCCTCTTGTACATTTTAATGAACTTATAACTATCATCTGTCCATCTCAATAAATGTTTTGAATCCCACATTGCGTGACACACTTACAACATTCTTCTAAAAATCAAATCAAAAAATATCCAAATTCTTATGCAACCGAATTCTTTCTGCTTCTAATAAGCATTTTTGATAAAGAAAATATAGAACTAAGAAAACTTCCAGAACCAGGGTCTCCTAATTTTTTCAAAGATTTGTAACTTAACTGACATCTCAATCACTCTCATTAGGCACTCATACACAGGATATTTGCAAATATATTATTTCTAAATATCACTGCATGAAAAGAAAAATGCAAATCAATGAAACTGTACAAAAGAAAAGCTAAACCATTTCACATCATTAATTAAAAGACATGTTTACACACAAGATTATTCAAGCTATTCACTGATATTTAGAGGTACAGTTATTCAGGCCCATGGTCACATCAATTATTTTTCTAATTTTGTCTCATTTTCTATTTTTGTTTCTACTTTTCTTTAGTCACTTAAAGGCTTTACAAAACACATTAGAGTTGATAATATTACCTCTAATGTATAGTCTGTATCAACAATAAATCTCCTCCCGCAATATTCTAAGATTTATTCTAAAACTTAATTACTCCAAAATTTACTGATTGTCTTCTCCTATCTTTAACTTCCATGATGTGCCTTAGTCTGTTAGGGGAAAACTTCGAGTTTGCAATTTACATCTTTTAGTGTGTCATGCAGGAGTGCTTCACCTTGGCCTGTTATATAGTCACTTCCAATTTTTAACTTAGCAAGCCAATTTACATCCTTCAGTGCATCACACAGGTGAGCTACACCTTGGTCTGTTATATTGTTACCAATAAGGTCCAACTCAGTGAGGTTACAATTTGCATTTATTAGTGCATCACACAGGTGTTCTATGCCTTGGTCTGTTGTCTTGTCACTAGAAAGCCCCAACTCTGTAAGTTTACAATTTTCATCTTTCAGGGCATCACACAAGTGTGCTACACCTTGGTCTGTAATATTGTTCCCTTGAAGGTACAACTTAGTGAGTTTACAACTTCCATCTTTCAGTGCATCACACAGGTGTGCCACACCTCGGTCTGTTACATTCTCTTGAAGGTACAACTTAGTGAGTTTACAATTTCCATCTTTCAAAACACTACACAGGTATGCTACACCTTGGTCTGTTATATTGATATTCCCAAGGCCCAACTTAGCGAGTTTACAATTTATATCTTTCAGTGCATCACACAGGTGTACTACACCTTGGTCTGTTATATTGTTAGCATAAAGGTCCAACTTAGTGAGGTTACAATTTCCATCTTTCAGTGCACCACACAGGTGTGCTACACCTTGGTCTGTTATATTGTTCTCTTGAAGGTCCAACTTAGTGAGTTTACAATTTCCACCTTTCAGTACACCACACAGGTGTGCTACACCTTGATCTGTTATATTGGTCAGGTGAAGGTCTAACTTACGGAGTTTACAATTTCCATCTTTCAGTGCACCACACAGGTGTGCTACACCTTGGTCTGCTACATTGTTAGCAAAGAGGACCAACTCAGATAGTTCTTGTAGGTGTGTTATGAAATGTGCAATTGCTGTACAGTCAGCAGGTGTTACTTGACTACTAGACAAATCTAATCTGTTACCAAACTTACTGTTCTTCTGCAGTTTAGAAGCTACCTTCTTCAGAATAGTTTCATTGTTACACTCGTGCAAACATTTCATCAAGAGTAAAGCCTTCTGTCGTGTTTTATACCTCTTCCTTGGCAGCTCTTCTGTCAAAATATCACAAAGAAGGCTGATATAACTGTTCATGGATTCATGTTCCTGGCCACCAAGTAGACCTGCCACAAACTGAATCACAAGATGCCACTTTGGGTCTGAGACAGTTGAAGTGATAAAATCACTGAGATCACTGGGCTTCATCTTTGCAACTTTTCTGGCTGCAAGCAGCTCCTGCAGTGTCAAATGGATGAAACAGAACTGAGGCTCAAGTTTAAAAGGTGTGATCTGACGGTTTGGCATGCGGTTGAACAAGCCACAGCCTTCAATTCCCTTGACTTCTGTTGAATCAAACACCAGTCGCCTTTCTTCTATCCCTGTTTTTGCCAGTGATTCTACTTGACTTAATGTTTTTTCAACAGAATCTGAGAAGCCAACATTTCCTGCAAGATAATCCTCTGTTAGCTGTTTGCCCTTGAATTCTGGGTGGCACTTGAAAATAAATAACCTCAATGCTCCATTGTAAATCTCTGTTGAAGTTGTGGGCAATGCACTTCCCGAATCAGTGTCTTGCAGTTTGATCAACTCTTTCAAAATGGAACAGACAATGAAACTGTTCACAGGAATGTAACACAAGGACAACAACTCTGTATTGCTACTGATATGCCCCCATACTCTATTCCTTGTCTTAATGTCACGAGCAAAAAAATTGTATACATATTCCTGAACCTTCTCTGGTGTAAATCCCATTATCTCCACTCTTCGGTCAAATTGCAGCCCTGCAAGACTCTGTACCACATTTGGCCTACAAGTTGTCAGAACTGTGGCTCCAGGAAGCTGTTTTCCTTTCATTAGTTTCATATACAGGGCAGAGAATGGCATCTCCTCTGTTGGACTATTTCCACCTTGTGCTCTCTCGTCATCCAAACAGTTCTCATGGTGCTTAAATTCATCTAGGCCATCAAAGATAAGTAGAACTTTCTCAGGGTGATCCAACAAGTCCTGCAAAACGTCATTGTCAATACTCCCTTCTGAAACTACACGACTCAATAGATGTTTGAGAGAAATATTCGTGGATGTCTCAGAATTGAACCATCTAAATTGGCACATGAACAAATGTTTGAAGCTTTGGTTACCGTCACGCAAGAGGTCACCCTTGCTCCAGTCACGCGACAATTTTTTACATAGCAACGATTTTCCGATGCCTGGGCGACCGATTATCAGAATTTTGCGAGGATCTTGCCATTTGGTATCTTCGTTAGGATGAAATAACTCGCCAAGTTTCCCTATAGGAATGGATCCACGTTGGGGCTTCAAATAGATCTCAAATATTTCGTGTCTTTTCGACAAGTCAGTAAATTCGTGTATCGCTCTTCCCGTGTAAATAACAAGATCGACGAAAATGTCATCCAACAGACTTTTGT